TAACCCGAAAAGTTCGTTAACAGAGGCGTTTGTAACCCGAGGTACCACTGTAGTTAACTAGCTGGCGTCCTATTCTATATTCAGGCCAAATTGTGGATCACTATATCTACTATTCTGATTAATTGTATCTACTATTTTGAATTTTCTGATCCCTCAAACATAATAATTAAAATCTTTTAAATGTCAATTAAAAGATGTAGATAAACTATCCGTTGTTTTACTCTTTACATATGTTCTTGTTCATTCTACCCACTGTATTTAATAGTAATACTACCTTGATTGTAGCTGATTCTTCTTCTACTTGATTAATTTTGTCTTTGATGGCTGCACATTTCTGTTCTTCCTCTTGTAAAATATGTTTCAGTTCCTCCATTTTTGCCTTCTGCTTAAGTATACGTTCCTTAACAGTATCTATCTTCTGTTGGTAATCATGAATTTCTTCTTCCTGATGTAAAGAAAAATCCATTAAAAAAACCTAATTTGAATTACTAGTCATAAATTTATGTTTCAGTCTGACAACCCAAGGAGAGCAAGGAGACTACAGATTGTATCATAGTGCAAGAAGTTTTAACACTATTAGCTTTATTGTAACACAAGCTTTTGTGGGGTCAGTTTCCCTGGACTATTACAAGGCAAAAATCAGGTTTATCCCAATGTGTTATTGCTATTAGTTTTATCCTTTACAATCAAGAAGATCTATTCTCCATCACATTTCAGATTTATTATTTCCACAAGGATGTGGTGGTAATTATTATTTTACCAAAAGCATGGGAAACATACAACTATTTTAATATTGTTTCACCAACTACTTTGGAAGAGAGATTTGTAAGTATTCGGTATGCAAACAATGTGTGTCTATATTTGTAGTGAAGAGCTATAAAATATACTACATGCTATTACTGAGTAGCTTTTAAGATAGATTGATACTCTCTTTAGAGTATTATATGGTGTTACTCATCATGGATACACAATTTTATTTATTATTTATTAATTACACTACAGGTAATTCTTGCTTAATGACTGCTTCAGACAGCAGTTGTTCACAGTTACAAAGGTGCTGAAAAAGTAACTTTGTGACCAATGCCCACATTTATGACCTTTGCAGCATTTCTCTCAATCATATGTTCACCATGAGTCAGTATGTGTTGTCCTGTGTAAATCATAAATACAGTCATGGTCACATTTTTCAGTTAGTGACCACTTCGTTAAACAACCAAGTCACTGGTCCCAACTGTGGTCACTAAATGATGACTACCTGTAGTACAATATTTGTATTCAAAGTTCTAAAGATTCATAAACAACTTCTGCAGACATTCATTCACTTGTTTCTTCCTCAGATGCTAAAGAAATAATGCAACTCAGCAAATAAACACAGTTTTTCAGAAATAATAGTATCCTTCACTGCATGAATTACTGTCTGTCCTCATTAGTTACACCTCTGTGTATCAGATAAAGGCAGGAAGTATCCAAACAGTTCTTACTAATGTAGAGATGACCACTGATTGGCGTTCTTCTACATTTTCAAGGCCAGTAATTCCTGAGTTTGTTTTTCTTATTTCTATCTGTAACAGAAATGAAAATAAATGTTAAAAATCCATTTAGGTTTCAAGAGACATTTTAATATCTTACGATCTTAACATGTGATTAATTCAACCATTTTTTTCCAAGCTGCCCATCTTCAAGTTTCATCATCCACATCCACTTAGTTTTTCACACATGGCTTC